ATGTCCACCCATCTGTGTGTGTGTGTAAGCGTGTGTGTAAGTGTGCAAGTGTGTGTGGCTGCTATATTCAAAGCCCTTTAATCAACAATCGCTGCATCTGGGCCAGATAATGAATGGCATTGTTTATAACCTCACTCCTGTATCGGGTGATAAATGCATACACGCCTAATGCTATCATTTGAATAAAAAATGAGATTGCGCTTTATTTTAATATCGAGGAGATTGTCTTAATATAAATTTCTTGGTAAAGTTGTGATGATGATGGTGATGATGATGATGTTCCATTTTGTTAACCAGCCAAAGGATTAAGCCATGGCAATAAAACTGTGAAGATACAAAATGAAGTTATAAAGCAATTGTTTTTGATTCATGGCCTGTGACAATAAGATATAAAGAGGAGTGGTTAAAAACAAAGGGAATTGCATTCAAGTGGAAAATAGATTTATTGAGTTACAAATTTACAAAAAAACCCCAAACAAACAAAATGCTTTGTGAGCATTACTCAGACTGTGAAACAGGTCTCACTAAATCCACTGAAAAGAACTCCTCTATCAAATGAGCGTTGATGTATGTGCAAAAGCTCTTGTCGTGTTTATTTTTCATTCCAACACATTTAGCAAAACTGCCTTGCCATCTAACACAGGATCCTCTGTGCCCTTTATAGTTGTAAAGTGGTGGAGGGAAAGCAAGTCTAGTTCAAACATTAAAATTACACAGGTGGTGTTGTAAAAATAATATCACGTTTGGTTTAGATGAAAAATTGCATATGTTGATAACTAAATGGACTACAAAGGTTCAGTGGCACTCACTGAATTGATGTAAATGACCACAAATCTGTTGTTTTTTTTTAACAGTGACTACTACATAATAACTCAATATTCCAGTACAATTGAATCAACTAAATACCAAATATTACAAAATTTTATTTCTATAATTCTTAAACAAAATGAGAGTGAAAACCCAAAATGTGTTAATATTTACACTGCGTGAGGTGTCTGACAAAATAATAAAAGTATTATTTTTCTTTCATGACTAGAGACATAAAACAGTAGTTATAAAGCTGCTGTTAAAGGTGACAAAAGCTGCTAGAATCTGAGGATTATTTTCACAAATAGTAACGAAAATATCCCCCAGCACAACAGATCCCATAAGATGAAGGGCAAAAAAATCCACTGCAGACAAATTCCTGGCACTATTTCCTCAGTGACATTATCCCACTGGAATAGCAGTGGCGCGGTGTTACAACCCTGCGTGTTGCCACAGTAGAATACAGATAGAGAACAGCTCGGCATGCACTACCTGGGGACTTTAGCTGTCCAAATCTTTGACAGTTTCTTAGCAGCTACCGGCCCTTAAACTGTGAAAGATTCCAGCGACAGATAGGGAACCCACCTACTCCCCCACCCCTCCATATCAGGCAGAATCATTGATAAAGACAGCCATTCAGGAATGACACTGATAGCTGCTCCAAAACCATTCGAAAAGTGATTTGCCTGCCATTTTAGCTCTTTCTGCCCTCTTTATGATGCACACGTGTCCAGAAAGACAACGAGATTGCTTATACAGAAAAAATTAAGTGGGGCAGTAAACAGCCACAAATAGGTATTAAAATTTTTCAATAAATGCAATTAAAGTTTACATCATAAAACTCTGAATTTGTTTGAATGATCAATTTAAAGTAAATGCATTTGAAATAATCCGCTCTTTTACAATGTCATGTCATGTTTAGATGCAAGGGAATATCTCAAGAATTACTTGAATCTTTCTAGTTGGTCCTGTTTGAAGAAATCCTTCACTCAGCGTACAGATCATTTGACATAAAGGAGCAGCTGCACACTGATAGCCAATCAGGGCCCAAGATTGTGAGGACTCAGTCTGTAAATTCATTCAATAAATACCATTTCATTGATATTACATTCTTGATCTTGGAATTAGAATTGATAACACATGACATATCATGAAGTGATAGCACAATTTACACACAGTTTTAGTGGAGGTTGAAGTTACAGATATACACTATTGCTCTGAAATACCTAGTGTCTGATATCAGCATCTGCAAACAATTACCACAGGAAGGTTTAAACTGCTAACCACTGAAAAGCTAATTGTTAATTTAAGCAGGAATAGTCAGTGTTTTTTTGGTGTATAAACAAAGACATGTAGGGGCAAATCCTCATGATTTCCTTGTGTAATGTTGAAAATCTAACACCAGTGGTTTGCAGAGAAACTGGTAGATAGTTTGAAAGCTGAGATATTTCTCCTCTGAACTGCAAAATGTTTCATGATGGCTTTGATTTAATGCATTTGAAGGCCAACTCAGACATGAGATGGAGACACTGTCTCTACTCCTCTGTCTCCTTCTGCTCCTGCATCCTTTCACCCCTCCTCTCGCCTTCATCCCCATCTTTGGTCCAAATGAATGAAGCCAGCTGGGGTCGACTGGCTGATGCTGGGCCCTGCTAGGTGGCACTGACAGCTGAATTATCCCACAGGCCGCGGTGGCTGATTATCAGCAGAAAAGTCATCAGGGCGTCCAAGCCTCCCCCCAAACCCTCCAATCCCCAATCTTTCTGCTCCCCCCTGTCCTCTTTCCCGTCCCCCTGTCGCCCCTTGTCAAGAGAGGGACGCCTTCTCCAAGCTCTCCGCCCGGGTCCTCTTGACAGGTAATCTCAACAGTAACAATTACCGCCATTACTGGTGTCATAAACAAGTGGCCGACCCCAAGCCAGGGCAATAACAAAGGCTTTATAATTCACCATGCAAGACCATATAAATACAAGCCAACAGGTAACAAGTAATCTAACAGAGAGGATGAGGGCCGGTGCTCCCAGGGACTGGACTGAATCTGTGTGTGTGTGTGTGTGTGTGTGTGTGTGTGTGTTTGCTGCAAAGAGCTATGTGGATAAAGGGTGAAGATGCAGGAGCAGATTGGCGTTGAGGCTGCAGACACACATTTGAATATAATCAAATAAGGAAAAGGATTTTAGTGTGTGAATATATTTGATTGGGTGCAAGTCACATTCGCTTGATGTTTAAATGCAGCTGAGTGCTGTGAAGCGGTTTTGTCAGGCTATTGATGAGAACATTTTATCTGAGAATGTTATTGATTTTGAGCATGTTATTGATTTAGCAATACAGGCAATACTTCACTGTAAATCTTTGATTATGAGAGAGAAAGAGGAGGCACTCAAATGCATCAAATAAATATCTTCCTGTCTTGAATATTGACAGAGGGGCAAAAATCCTAATTGGAAACTAAACAATGGTATTATAATGTATTATTAATCAAACAGATTTTAAGAAAGAACTGATGGGAAATTAAGACAAACATTTCTGTGTTTCAATATTTCACTGCACCATAGATATGTAGCCATAATATATTTTTATTTACAACATTTTATTTTATTTTAATTAACTGCACTATATTTTCTTAGTTCGTTAATAATTCCACGCATTTATTTTTTTTTACACCAAATAACTCTTCCCTAACGCGTTGTGCCTTACCAATTGAAGTTTGGGCCAGATTGCTTCCTCTCCTCAGCAAAGCAAACAAGGCGTTGTGGCCTGGAGCGTTAAAATAATTTGAGACTCCCTAATGAGGAGAGCTGAGCAGCAATTAACACATGTCAAAGTCGACATCATCAGGTGCCACTCTGATTTTCTTCTCAAGACTCAATGGGTGTTTTTTTTTCTTCTCCTGCCGTTTCCTCTTGTTTATTCCCACCCGAAGGCGACGGTGGAAAAAGAGGTTTCCATTTCTGATGCGGCTGGACTGTGGCGCATTTAACGATCACTAGATAACGCCATCGAAATTGTCACGCCGACGTCTCGCCTTTATTCGTTTTCTTTCTTTTCTTTTTTTTTTCGCCGCAGCAGTCAGATCAGACAGGCCAGTTAACGGTGCATAATTCCTGCAGGAGCGATGCTCCGAGCAAAGAGGCAGGCGAGGAGCGGAGAGGAGAGCAGGGGCTGCGGCGACAACGTGGATGCTGATGTGAATTTGCATGGTTTAAAAAAAATCAGGTTAAATTATTATTTCAGACTAACAACTGGAAAACTATATAATTTTAAAATTATAAATTAAAAAAATATGATTAAACACGACTTGTTTTTTTAAAGTTGTGCAACAGGAATAATGTTTATATTCATTGTCCCCTATTTTGGAGCATGGTTTTGTACAAATACTGTGATTGAAACCCGCAATTAGGTGACTAAAGTTCAACAAATAAAAGATAATAATTATAAAGTAAATATAAATTGGGAAAAAATTTTGTATATCTTAAAAGAAAAACGTAAGTTAAAATATATTTTCATTTAGTTTATTTTTAAAAACAGGTTATGTCCAAAAAATAAATTGTTCTGTTTCATTTATTAAATTCAAATAATTTAAGGCCACAAAATGAGAAGCATTTCACATAGGCTACTTAAAAAATAAGTACATACATGTGTGTAAATACACGTGTAAATAAACTCAACTACCTTTTATAATTGTAGAAAAAAATGCATTTTATTACAGAACAAAGAGGGTAAAACAGGTAATTTCACTGACATCTTGGCCTATTGCACTGATGATTAAGTAGCCATGGTGTGAGTTTAAATTTCCAATGAAGTGTCAAAAGAAGTTACTCTCAAATTACTCTATTAACAAAAATGACTTCTAAAAGCAGAGTAAGAGGGCACAACGTGAGTTCTCTGCTGAGCTTGATTTTTTATTTTTATTTTTACAGTAATAATTTATGACAATTTAAAGTCTGGAAAGTCTGGATGTAAAACACAGATGTGTTCAATCTCCAGATAATTTCTCCCGCAAATGTCAGTGTGCTTACAAAGAAAAAAAACCCCAAAGGCTATACCTAGCAACAGCAGTCCAGAAACTAAAACACATCAACAACCAAACTCATCGCTCAGCTTCTGTCTTTCTCTTCTCTCCTAGATGCAGGATGAAGAAAAAGAAAGAAGGAGAAAAGGAGGAGGGGGTGTTTTGTTGTCATTCTTCTGACCTGAGTCGCTCATCTTCCTCAGAGCTCAGCAGGAGCTCGGCCGGCGCTCGCCTCGCCTACCCAGGGTCCTTTTGGAGTGCGCATATCATTTGCATACATTTCTTGCTGGCTGACGAGGCCGCGCTCTTATTAAAGCCTCATCTCACAAATTCCCTCCCAGAATCCTGCTGGTCCTTGCTGCCATGAATCCGTACCTGTGGTGGTGGTGGCCGCTGATGATGGCATGCTGTTGTCCCAAAGCAACCAGACAAGGGTGAGAGGATGGAAGGGGGATGGGGTGGGATGAGAGAAAGAGATGTATAGGAAGAAAGGGCAACAGTTTCTGTGCAGCAAAAACAAAAGAGAAAGCAAAGGAGAGGAAGAAAAAAACTGCAGTCAAGAGCGAGAGAGGATAAATGAGTCCTCTGTGTGCAGTGGAGCTCGCTCTCCCGTTCTCTCCCCCACTCTGTTTGTCTCTCTCTCCCTTTCTGACTCTTGAACCAGGCTCCATTTTGTGTTAAGCAGCACCCTCTCATGACAGATCTGTGGTGGGATCAAGGGTCAAAGTTGAGGATAGGGTCAGCTGTAACACAACATGCAAAGGATCTCTGCAAACTCTCCTCAGCTCTGCCAAAATGCGCTTCATAAGCTTCAAGGTGATAAACTATTGCAGCTTTAAAGGCTGAAAGAGGACTGCATTAAACAACATGCAGTGGTCGGGCGTGTTGCTTCAGGTACGATCCAGGAAGTCCCCTTTGATTAATAGATCCACAAGTTAGAAGGTTTATCAGACCCTAAAGCACTTCACGGTTCTATGAGACCAGATTGTAGAGAGTGTCAGAGTGTCTCTTGTAAGTATGGAAAGTTATCAAAGTGACAATAATTTCAATAGTCGCAAGGTAGAAAGAAGAAATCCAGTGTTCACGTTACAAAGAAATCTGTCACTGTGACACCTTGCCGCATGGTGCTGCATTGCGTAAATGCTGAGCGAAGCTCAATATTTTTGTTACACAGAAATAAATGTGTGTGTCGTACAGTGTGAAAACATGCTTTTCACACTGTACTAATGTAGGTCTGAACACGGCCTAAGTGCGACTCTCAATACATTCCACCTAATTCCAAACCCATCCCTTCCAACTGAAGACGTACATTTTAAAAGAGGTCACAAATATTTAAGAACATTTTTGAAATGGCTAAATAATTTCTTTAAAAGGCTGGGTGGTTTTTGGAAAACATTACTCAAACAGGACTAAGTAGAGCATTTGTCATGGACTACTTTCAACCGTAATACATATTTGGTGAGTATATACGGCAACCGTACAAACTGAGCCAGCAGACTCAAAATAAACTATGGTTGCCTTGTTCACGGTAATGAAGGAAACATGTCACCCAGTGCAATAATGTGGCTCATTAATGTGTTTTTAATAGTTTAAAATGGGTTTAATAGTAGCCACATTCGACATCTATGGCACAGAGGAATAAGATATATCTAGCGTTGGTTATACAGACAAATTCACCAGCCTTATCCTTTAAAAGTTTGGTATGCACCCATGAAACAGTAGAGCAGAGGGAAGAGTTGATGGAAGTCAAAAGCATGACACACCAAAGGAATTTATAGACATACTGCATGTATGTAGTGCTAGCACAGGCAGGAACTCACACGCAAAATGAATCAACACATAGTACAAACATGCGGAGAAACCACATCACTCAAACCTCCATACCACCGAACACAAGTGGAGGGAGAAAAACAGAGAGAGAGCGAGAGAGGGAAAAAATGATGAAGTCGGACTTGAACATCAAACAATAAACAGTCCATTAAGTCTGTGGGTGGAAGGGTGCGGGGGTGGGAAGGCAGATATTGGGGAGGATGGGGTAGAGGAATGATGAGAGTTTATTTAAAGCATGGTGACCCCGTGGCCGTAGGCTGCCTTGGTGCAGGGATGAATAAAACTTTAATGGCTCATAAAACACAGCGACCCCTTCTCGGAGCTCAGCTTTGCAGCGTTTATCCCTACTGGGTCAGCCAATCAGATTGCTTGTATCTCCAAACACAGAGAGGGAGAGAGAGAGGGAGGAAAAACAGAGGAGAATTAAAGGAATAGTTCAAAATTTTGAAGTTCAAAATTAGCCTTTCCTAGAATGACATCAGAAGATCGAAATCACTCTCATGTCTGGGTGTTAAGTGTATGAAGTTAGGACTAATTAACACCTTAACAGATTTCAAATTTCAATATTTGTGATTCTCAGCAGCATCTCTGGCTGCTGCGTCGGTTGCTAAAAATGGTCAGTGAGCACAACTTTCAGTTTTGGTGTCTGTACAGGCTAGATGGCAGCAAACCTGGCATCCTCACTGTAAAGTCTTCACGATACTGAGCTTGTTTACCAAAGATATCGTTCCAAAATGTACCTTCCACTAAACCTATTTTCATTTTCATTCGTTTGTGTTGAGGTTAAACAAATAAGATTATAGTGAGCTTTAGAGGTGTTGTTAGGCGTACTTTTGGACAGAGCCAGGCGATCCAGGTAATTAACACACTGACATGAGATTTATAACATTCTTCTGACATCACTCTTTGAAAGAAAGCTAATATGAATATTTCCAAAAACTTTTAACTGCTCATTCATGGTAAAAGGTGCAAGAGAAAAGGGGTAAGAAGGCAGGGCAGATGTAGCAAAGAGAGGATGAACAAACTTAGAGACACCAGGAGAAAATGGGATTGGAGTTACAGATAAAAGAGGACGATTTAATTTAGGACAGTGGAGGTAGAACAGGAGAAACAGAAAATGAGAGAGCAGGTTAAGAAACAACAGAGAGGAAGACGAGACCGTGCTATTTAACCTGGTAGAGTTTCACACCGGCATGTAAATCACACACACACACACACACTGACCCTCAACCTTTTTAGCACAACACTGCAAAGGTACAAACTATCACCAGCGGTTTAATCAAACCCATGTGAACTGTACTTTTTGCCAAGCACCATTTGCCTCACTGGAAACGGGCCTGTGACAATCTAAAGCTGGGGTGTCAATCCACGCCGCAGTAACCCCGGGGTGCTGGGATCTGTAAACAAGCAGCTGTCACCTTGTTTAACACTAAGCCATTTTCTTACCCAGCACTCCACTCAATCTGCAATGTTCGCCAAAGTCATTATGTTGATGTGTCGAAGTGTTGTAATATGCAGTATTGTCTGCAAATGCCTACATTTCCCAGAATATTTTAAAAAATACAGTAAATAACAATCATTATCACAACATATGCAAAATGCTACAGATTGTGGCTTTAAAAAGATCGTTTGTGCATAAGTTTTTTCTTGCCGTCCATGTACAGTAAGTAAGGGGAAAAGTCTAATTATTTAGACAGATAACTGATGCAAAAATGAGCATGAAGATGGCATGTACATGCTGTTGCATGTTTTTAAGCTCATGTCGAATTATTTTGTTGTGTCAGTATCTTTGTTGTCAAAGTCGAAGTGTATTCCCCTTTGTGACAAAACATTTGATGTGTGTTTGTATATATATATATATATATATATCTATATATATATATATATATAGATATATATGTGTGTATGCGTGCGCTACAGTCAGTGACCCTCCCTACCCTTTTCTCCCCTCCTTGTTCAGCCCAGTGGGTGTCATTCTCAGGTCATAAGACTGTAAATATACACAGTTAGACCCCAGAGGCATAAATCAGAGTCAACAGCGTGAACTCCTACATGGACAGATAACACGAGACAGACATGACACGCCTGCTGGAATAAATAATAATAGCACATATTCACAGCTTACAGTAAGATAAAGATCATATTAACATAACTAATACTACATAACTAACACTACTACTACTGTTACATATAAGTTGTATATGGAGACCTGTTCTGTTTTCCAGGTTGTCGAATACCGATGCTTTGTCACGCCTCAGCATCTCATACAAATGCATTTGTATGAGATGTATGACAAGGTACATTTTAGTGTATATGAAACATTGTTACTGCAACATACAGTGCACATTAGACTGACTACAATTGTTACATACACTTTTAGTAGCCTCTATAAAACAAATTATATTATAAAATTTGTTTGAATTTCAGTGAATTTAAATGAATTAAATACATTGAAATGTAGCTAAAGGATATATGCCAAATGTGTGACAAATTGACTTGCTTTTTGCAGAACTTTAAACTGCATCTTCAGCAGCAACTGTAATGTTAAAGACATTAAAATGCAGTGCAATGCATAAAATGCAAATGGCTAAGCTAAATCTCATTACTACCACTACTTCTAAAATTTTAACAAACGCCTTGACCTCCACCACCATTACATCTGCCATCAGTGCCTCTTCTACTGCTACTATTAATCTGCTTCTGTTGATATTACGTCTTCTCCTTATGTTACTGGTGTTCTTGCTTGTAGTTCTGGTGAACTTCATCCGAGCAATACTTTAAAATAACTCTATGTTGGGCTACTTTTTCAACAGTACATAAGCTGAATAATCAAAACATAGTCCAACCAGACCAATATGCAAGCCAAAGCTCATGAACATTGTGTGATAGAAGATTTGAGTCTATGGAGCTCGACAGCGGTACTGATTTCAATCAGTTATTTGGTTATGTTATTATTAGAAACATCCACAATACATATAGTATACATAGCCACACACGATCCTTATATGCTTTAAAGTAGTTCTTGTTTATAAATCTTCCCATGGCTCCCTACACACCTACATTCTCACTACGTCCAGGCTCCGGCACTACGTACAGGGCATTCAGAGTGGCTAAGCACTAATGTCTGGAATGGCCTCCTCCAGGGTTTGCACCAGTGCAAATCTGTTAGTTCCTTAAAAATGAAACTGAAAACTCTGTTAGATTGGCTTTTCCTGGTGCTTCGTAATTTGCGTATTATTTTTGTATTCTGTGTTTCATATTATGCATGTTATCAGTGTATTTGCTGGCTTATTCTTTCCACATCTATCTTTTACTGCATTATCTGTTTTTTGTAAAGTGTCCTTGGGTGACTTAAAAGGCTCGGACAAATAAAATGTATTATTATCATTATCAATGCTATGACATCAATTTACCTTTACTGTCACCAAGATAAGTTCCAATACATCAACTCTCTTTGGCATTTATAAATGTATCCTTATTGTCTTTCTCCTTATATTTACTCAGAGAGGGTGTGATCGAAAACATAGATAAAATAAATCAAAATATTTCCACAAAATGATACATCGGATGGCAGAATATTGATGATCATGTTCATGGAAAGTCCTAAAGTAAAAGTTAACTGTCAGACCGTGTTATTAATGCCAGGTGTCAAGCAATATAAAGATAACTGTTGCCTTATAGCTTTAAAATTAGGCGTCACTTTTCAAATGAGTTTTATGATCCAGAAGGTATTCCTGCTTCGCTTAAGGGCAACCTGCCTCTTTAAAAAAACTTTTTTATTCTTCTTGTAAAAGACTGAGTTGTCACTCCTTTTTCTGCATGTCTCTCAAGGGCAAAATGTAGAAACATGCAGAGGTTAAGAGTGCTTGGTCATAATCATCAACAAAAAAAGTTTATTGAAGAGACTCAGAAAATATGAATAATCAAG